AACCAATGGACTTAGGTGGCATTCCTTTAAAAAATGATGAATATTTTCACTGGGGACCTATATTCTATGTATGTAGTTTTGCAAGGAATAGGGTCCCCTTCATGAATAATTATTATATACGTAATTCCCTTTGGGTAGAAGCAATCCTGGATATCTGAAGTTCCTAAACTGGAACGTTTCAAGAAAAAAACAGGTCCCCCGAAATGATCAATTTCTTTTTATATTGTATTAAAAAAATGAGTTTTTCAAGCTCACCGAAGGGTACCCCCCACGAACGGTGTCGGAGAACTATGAAAAAAAAATAGTTTGCAATGAAAACTAATGGACTTAGGTGGCATTCCTTCAAAAATTGATGAATACTTTTCACTGGGGACCTATATTCTATGTATGTAGTTTTGCAAGCAATAGGGTCCCCTTCATGTATAATTATTATATACGTAATTCCCTTTGGGTAGCAGCAATCCTGGATATCTGAAGTTCCCAAACTAGAACGTTTCAACAAAAAAACAGCTCCCCCGAAATGATCAATTTCTTTTTATATTGTATTTAAAAAAATGAGTTTTTCAAGCTCACCGAAGGGTACCCCCCACGACCGGTGTCGGAGAACTATGAAAAAACTATTTTGCAATGAAAGCCAATGGAATTAGGTGGCATTCCTTCAAAAATTGATAACTATTTTCACTGGGGACCTATATTCTATGGATGTAGTCCTGCAAGGAATAGGGTCCCCTTCATGTATAATTATTTTATACATAATTCCCTTTGGGTAGAAGCAATCCTGGATATCTGAAGTTCCTAAACTGGAACGTTTCAACAAAAAAACAGGTCCCCCGAAATGATTATTATTTTTTTATATATTGAATTAAAAAAATGAGTTTTTCAAGCTCACCGAAGGGTATCCCCCACGACCGGTGTCGGGATTTATGGAAATGTGAAGGATTTATGGAGAAAATGAAGAAACGCATATGGAAAAAGTGAAGAATTTGACTGAAAAGGGAAAATAATTTATATGGAAAAGAATCTGTATGGCAAAATATGGTAAACTGAAGAATTTGTATGGAAACGTGCAGAATTGTTATAGGAAAGTGAAGAATTTATATGGAAAAATTATGAATTTGTCTGGAAACATGAAAGAAGTTATATGGAAACAATATGCAAAGGTGAAGAATTTGTATAGAAATGTGAAGGATTTATTAAGAAATATATATATATATGGAAAAACGATGAATTTGACTGAACAAGTGAAAGAATTTGTATGGCAAAAATATGGAAAAGTGAAGAATTTGTATGGAAACGTGAAGGATTTATAAAGAAAAGTGAAGAACTTCTATGGAAAAATGACGAATTCGTCTGGAAAAGTGAAAGAATTTATATGGCCCAACGATATTCTATGTGACGTCAACTGTATTCTAAGTAACTGTTTTCAAGTTCAATTATGGGGATGCCCTGGGAAGCCAAAATTTCAATTCTATATTCTATGTGGGCGGGGTAGATTATAGATCTATAATGATCTATATAGATGGATTATGATTGGTTGTCAACTTCAGTAAAGATCCACGAAGCCTCGTGGTACAGTGTTGACCCCAAGGCTTTTGCATCATGTTCAATTCTCGTATGCCAAGAATTTCAGGATTGAAGTGGCGAGCACTGGTAATTTTGGCAGGGACCAGGGCACTGCTTGTGTGCAACAAAACTTGGGTCAAGCCTAAACCAGAAATTCTTCACCCAAATGGGGATCCCCAAAAATGGAGTTTCGGGCTTGTAATTATAAAAGAAAATCCACCGGCAGACCGTGACCCAAAATATCCCAAAACCGCTGCGGATGGCTCCGTCACTGCGGACCTTGGCTGCTTGCTCCAGTTCTATTGCTTCCATTTCTACATCGGCCATCCGCTCTTGCAGGAGATTTTGCCTGGCCGATAGGCCGAGCTATGCCAATCTGGGTGAGGCAGGGTTGAACCTGTTTGAACCTGCTGAGACCTGATGAATTTCTGGTTGCTGGTTGAGATATATAGAGGAATCTTGGATCGCAGGGGATGTTTTGGATGCATACAAGAGGTAGCGGAAACTAGCAACTGAGGAACCGGCGGATCGGGTATGTGCAACCCAGCAATTCTATGCAATTCTCAACAACTACTGATGGCATTGCAAAATGAATGGTTGAAGATTGTGTGCATTGAAGGCACATAGATAAGGAGCTTGAACCAGAAGAAGGAGCTACGAAGTGACGAGTGCTCCTCTGCTGTCAGCGACGCTAGTTTTCCCTCTACTAGAATCATCAATTCTTATCTGTGGCAGTGGGAAATCCTCTTTGAATGGGAATTTATTTCCATTGAGATGTTTCTGCCTTGGCAGCCCTTCTCTTGTCCTGCTCCACTTATTGAAGGCTTCACCACCGGTTTTACTTGTCCCAATGGAAGTCTGTGCGCTCGAGGCTCTTGATGTCTGAATCCAGGATCTGCCGATCCTTTTCAAAACTCTGCCCTGCACCCCGTCCAGCCCCAAATTCCAGTCGCATATCTCCTACCACTATGCCCAGCTGCATGTTGCCAACCTACAGCCCAAAGCCACCTCAAAACACCTATACTGCCACTATGCCCAGCTGCATGTTGCCAACCTACAGCCCAAAGCCACCTCAAAACACCTATACTGCCACTATGCCCAGCTGCATGTGCCAACCCACCCAGCCCAAAGCACCTCAAAACACCTATACTGCCACTATGCCCCGAGAAATGTTGCCAACCCTACAGACCAAAAGACACCTCAAAACACCTATCACTGCCCACTATGCCCAGCTGAATGTTGCAAAACCTACAAGCACAAAAAAGCCAGCCACCTCAAACACCCTATACTGACCACTATGCCCAGCTGACTGTTGCCACCTACAGCCAAAGCCACCTCAAAACACCTATACTGCCACTATGCACAGCTGCATGTTGCCAACCTACAGCCCAAAGCCACCTCAAAACACCTATACTGCCACTATGCCCAGCTGCATGTTGCCAACCTACAGCCCAAAGCCACCTCAAAACACCTATACTGCCACTATGCCCAGCTGCATGTTGCCAACCTACAGCCCAAAACCACCTCAAAACACCTATACTGCCACTATGCCCAGCTGCATGTTGCCAACCTACAGCCCAAAGCCACCTCAAAACACCTATACTGCCACTATGCCCAGCTGCATGCTGCCAACCTACAGCCCAAAGCCACCTCAAAACACCTATACTGCCACTATGCCCAGCTGCATGTTGCCAACCTACAGCCCAAAGCCACCTCAAAACACCTATACTGCCACTATGCCCAGCTGCATGTTGCCAACCTACAGCCCAAAGCCACCTCAAAACACCTATACTGCGGCACTATGCCCAGCTGCATGTTGCCAACCTACAGCCCAAAGCCACCTCAAAACACCTATACTGCCACTATGCCCAGCTGCATGTTGCCAACCTACAGCCCAAAGCCACCTCAAAACACCTATACTGCGGCACTATGCCCAGCTGCATGTTGCCAACCTACAGCCCAAAGCCACCTCAAAACACCTATACTGCACTATGCCCAGCTGCATGTTGCCAACCTACAGCCCAAAGCCACCTCAAAACACCTATACTGTCACTATGCCCAGCTGCATGTTGCCAACCTACAGCCCAAAGCCACCTCAAAACACCTATACTGCCACTATGCCCAGCTGCATGTTGCCAACCTACAGCCCAAAGCCACCTCAAAACACCTATACTGCGGCACTATGCCCAGCTGCATGTTGCCAACCTACAGCCCAAAGCCACCTCAAAACACCTATACTGCCACTATGCCCAGCTGCATGTTGCCAACCTACAGCCCAAAGCCACCTCAAAACACCTATACTGCGGCACTATGCCCAGCTGCATGTTGCCAACCTACAGCCCAAAGCCACCTCAAAACACCTATACTGCGCCACTATGCCCAGCTGTATGTTGCCAACCTACAGCCCAAAGCCACCTCAAAACACC